TTTCATCCTGAAATCTCAAGTTTTATCACACAATGGTTATCTTAATGTCATCGTTGTACCATTTAATTTTTTATTGAAGAAAATATTCAGGGCCAGCCACGGTGGCTCACACCTGTAATCCCAGCACTTTGTGAGGCCAAGGCGGGCAGATTGCCTGAGGTCAGGCGTTCAAGACCAGCCTGGCCAGCATGGTGAAACTCTGTCTCTACTAAAAATATCAAAAATTAGCCGGGCATGGTGGCAGGTACCTGTAATCCCAGCTACTCAGGAAGTTGAGGCAGAATTGCTTGAACCTGGGCGGTGGAGGTTACAATAAGCCAGGATCGCGCTACTGCACTCCAGTCTGGGCAACAAAGCAAGACTCCGTCTCAAAAGAAAAAAAAGGAAAAAGATAATATTCAGATTTCTTTCAGGCCCCAACCAGTCACCTATGCATTTCTTTTAGATGGCATTTTTCTTGTCCTAAGGAGGTTACCTGCTTCTGAGTAGCCCTTCTTCCTCTGCAAAGTGGGGACTATAACCTTTCCTGATTTTCCAGTGATGATGTTCACCATCAACCTGGTCCTTAGGAGGGAAGGAAGCACTGACAAATACAAGAGCTGATTGTTAATTATGAACTATATGCTCTGGGTACATAGATCTGACTCAAGTTATCAGTCAGAATGAATACTCGGTAATTGATGATTAACAGGACCGTAGCTTCAAACCAAGGTTCTAAAGTGGTACAAAGCTCAAGGATGTGGAAAAATGCTGTTTAGAGAAATCCAAATATAAGCCAATTTGTGCTGGGCGATTAAAACCAGAAAAACATTATTAAACATTTTTGGAAGGTAAGAATTAATGATTGAAGTACAGAGATGGACATCACATACAAATGTGTGATACATTCTATGGTATAAAATCAATGGTTTGATATTCTTTTTTCTTCTTCTTTTAGACTGTGTCTTGCTAGGTCACCCAGGCTGGAGGGCTAGAGTACAATGGCTACTCACAGGTGCAATGATGGCACACCGCAATCTGGAACTCCTGGACTCAAGTGAGCCCCTGCCTCCGCCTCCTGAATAGCTGGAACTACAGGCACACACCAACTTGTTCTCTTTTACTGTGATTTGCCTTTGCAGCCCAATTTCTTTCTGAATTCAGTAGTTGACATGTTTTATCTCATTTGTCCTTCCAATTATCCAATAAAATCATATTTATCATTTGCTTAGATACAGGGTATCATTCTGTCACCCAGGATGGGAGTGCAGTGGCCTGATTATAACTTACTGCAGCCTCAAACTCATGGGCTTAAGCGATTCTCCCACCCCCCACCCCAAGCAGCTGGGACTATAATAGGCAAGTGCCACCATGTCCTACTAATTTAAAAAATTTTTTTTAGAGACAGGGTCTCAAAACTTTGCCCAGGCTGCTTTTAGATCTCCTGGGGGTAGATCCCTCAGGAATAAGCAATGCCTTGTTGAGGGGAAGGGGCTCAAATTCCTGGGCTCAAATGATCCTTCCACCTTGGCCAAATTTTGCCCAGGCTGGTCTCAAACTCCTGGGCTCAAGCAGTCCTCCCACCTTGGCCACCCAAAGTACTAGGAATTTTTTTTCCTGAGACAGGATCTTGCTCTGTTGCCCAGGCCCGAGTGCAGTGGCACAATCACCACTCACTGCAACCTCAATCTCCTGGGCTCAAGTGATTTTCTCACCTTAGCCTCCTCAGTAGCTAGGACCGAGTGCACCACCATACCCAGATAATATTTTAAATTTTTAATAGAGACGAGGGTCTCCCTATGTTGCTCGAGGTGGTCTTGAACTCCTGAATTCAAGCAATTCTTCCACCTTGGCCTCCTGAAGTGCTAGGTTTGTAGGCATGAGCCATTCCACCCAGCTCAATGATCAATCATTTAATTAATCATGCTTATGTAATGAAACCTTCATCAAATCCCAATAGAATAGGGTTCAAAGAGCTTCCAGGTGGTGAACATGTGGAGGTTTGGGGAGGTGGCATTCCTGAAGATGGCATGGAAGCTCCACAGCCCTTCCCATGTTCCTTGCCCTATGCAGCTCTTCCACTGGCTGTTCCTACGTTGTGTTCTTTCACAATAAATGGTAATGTGGATAAACCATTCCAAGTCCTGTGAGCTGTCCTAGCAGATGATCAGACCCGAGGAGGAGGGGATGGTGGGGACTTGTAATTTACAGCAAGTCTGCAAGAAGTACAGGTGACAACCCAGGACTAGCACCTGGTATCTGAAGTGGATCAGTCTTACGGGAATAAGCCGGTAACCTGTGGGACCTGATGCTATTTCCAGGTATTCAGTGTCAGAATTGAGCTAAATTGTAGGACACTGCTAAAGTTTGGATGTTCATTCCCTCCAAATCTCAAGTTGAACTTTTTCCCCCTAATGGCAGGTGTCTGAGTCATGGGGGTAGATCCCTCAGGAATAAACAGTGCCTTGTTGAGGGGAAGAGGGCAGTGAGTTCTCACTCTGTTCCTTTCCACAAGAGCTGGTTGTTAAAAATAACTTGGCACCTCCGCTGTCTCTTGCTACCTGATCTCTGCTCACAACACATTGGCTCAATTCTGCCTTTTGCCATGAGTGGAAGCAGCCTGAAGCTCTCACCAGAGTCCCAATCTTCCAGGCAGCACAAATGCCAGCCAAATTAACTTCACTTTTATTGTTGTTTTTTGGAGATGGAGTTTCACTCTGTCCCCAGGTTGGAGTGCAGTGGCACAATCTCCGTTCCACTGCAACCTCCACCTCCCGGGTTCAAGTGATTCTCCTGACTCAGCCTCCCAAGTAGCTGGAATTACAGGTGCCCGCCGGCACACCCAGCTAATTTTTTTGTATTTTTAGTAGAGACGCGGTTTCACCATGTTGGCCAGGCTGGCCTTGAACTCCTGACGTCAGGTGATCCACCTGCCTTGGCCTCCCAAAGTGCTAGGATCACAGGCATGAGCCACCTTGCCCAGCCCTTAACTGGATTTCCCCTGTACAAATTGGTTGGCAATGTCCTTTTTTCACCTTAAAATGCCTAGAAATCTTTCAGATAAGCTTTTTAAAAAACCTTTTTTTAGGTATAATTTACATACCACAAAATTCACCCGTATTTTAGGTGTACAGTTTGATGATTTTTAGTAACCTTGTGCAACCATCAGAACTCAGTTTTAGAACATTTCTGTCACCCCCAAAAGTTCCCTCATGTCTATAAAAAAGCTTCTTAAAGGGTGCATTTTTGGGGATAATTACAATCATGAGTAACAAGTCCCAGAAATGTCCATTTTGCCTGGCTTCCTTTTGCTGCTGGCAGGCAAAAAGAAAATTGCAAAAGCCCATCAACAAATGAAAGAAAACACCATAAGCTGATCAACAGCTGTTTGCTCAAAATAGTTTATTCATGCTCTCCAGCATTCAGTGAATGTCAAGCCAAGTGCCAGGCATTGGTTAAGTCTGTCAGGGATATCAAGGCAGGATAACAGCTGTCTTCCCCTGGAAGTAACTGGATGAGAGTTCAATAGTATACAACCTCACTTAAAACAGTTTCCATATTCAATGGTTTGGGGTGGTAAAAGTGTACCAGGTGGGTGTGGTATTTGGACTTCCACTTCCAGAAGTGAAGATAAACAGCGACTGGATTTACTTTCCCATGTAAATAACCAAAATCTAGACCCCAAAAAATGTAAGAAATAGTTTTCAAGACACTAGATATCAGGCCACAAAGGACAGTAATCCCTGAAAAAAGGACAACAAATGAGGTGAGCCCTATTATTGCTCCAACTTACTGCCTTGAGAGTTTCCAGGCTCTAGTGCAGGAAGGGCAAAGTAAGGAAGGGCCTGGTGAAATCCCTGAGCTGAGGAGACAGAGCTGAGTCCAGGTAGACCAAGGCAGCCAGATTGAAAGGACAGAATACCAGAGGAAGGGAGCTATTCAGACAGTACCCCAGAGATCTGTCAAGGGTCTCCCTCTAGCATTTAGCAGAGTACTGCTGAGGATACAAGTGTAAGAAAACTACACAAGGCTGAAGAAGGAACCACATAAAAGGATTACAGCAGCAGTTCCTAACCTTTTTGGAGTTTCAGAATGAAACTCTTCCACCTCAGTTCATCAGACATTTGTTCGATGCTCATAAGGCGTGGGCAACCTATCAGATCCTTCACGTGCAGAGTTCACAACAGGGTTTGTGCTCCTATGAGAACTGAATGCTGCAGCTGATCTGACAGGAGACACAGCCCAGGCAGTAATGCTCGCTCACCTGCCACTCACCTCCTGCTGTGCGGCCCAGTTCCTATCAGGCCACCAGCTGGTACTAGTCCAAGGCCTGGAGACTGAGGACCACTGGATTAGAGGGAATAGTGCCTGCTCCTATGATCCCGATTAGAAAAACTCATAATTTATGGGGATTGGCAAGAGTACTTATGAAGGTCTTGCCTCAGGGGAATAATTAGCCTTAGAGTTGGCATTGCTCTGGTCCTGCCTAATAAATATATATAGATTTTTTTTTTTTTTTTGAGACAGAGTCTTGCTCTGTTGCCCAGGCTAAAGTGCAGTGGCATGATCCCAGCTCATTGCAACCTCCACCTCCTGGGTTCAAGTGATTCTCCTGCCTCAGCATCCTGAGTAGCTAGGGTTACAGATGCCTGCCACCATGCCCAGATAATTTTTGTATTTTTAGTAGACATGGGGTTTCATTATGTGATGGTCTCAAACTCCTGACCTCAGTTGATCTGCCCACCTCAGCCTCCCAATGTGTTGGGATTACAGGTGTCAGCCCTGCACCCCACCTTTCCTAACAAATCTTAAAAGCAAGACCCAAAAGGATCAAACTTTTTTCGTAACTTAACTGTACCCCACAACAATGCTCAAGGGGATTTATAGCAATATAAAAATAACTAGCACCAAACAAGTTAAATTCATAATATCTGGCATATAATCAAAAATTACCTGGCATGTAGAGAGATGAGAAAATATGACCCATGATGAGGGGCAAATCAGTCATTAATAAAACTCACCCAGAAGTGACACCGATGTTGGAATTAGTGTCAAAGACATTAAAACAGTTGCCATGACTAGATTCCACAGGTTCAAACTGTTAGAGAGATACATGGGAGATGCAAAAAATATAATTAAACTTCTAGAGATGAAAACTATAATGTCTGAAATGAAAATCAACAAGGATAGAATTAATTGTATATTAAACACTGCTAAAAATTAGTAAACTTGAAGAAACAGCAAGAGGAGCTATCAAAAATTAATAAATGGCTGGGCATGGTAGCTCATGCCTGCAATCCCAGAACTTTGGGAGGCCAAAGCGAGTGGATCATCTTAGGTCAGGAGTTTGAAACCAGCCTGGTCAACATGGTGAAACCCCATCTCTACTAGAGATATAAAAATTAGCCAGGTGTAGTGGGGCATGCCCATAAGCCCAGTCACTCAGGAGGGCTGAGGCAAGAGAATCCTTTGAATCCGGGGGACAAAGTTTGCAGTAAGCCAAAATTTCACCACTGCATTCCACCCTGGGCAAAAGAGCAGGACTTTGTCTCAAAAAAAAAAAGAAAATCTCAATACCGTATCTGAGTCAAAAGATCCTATTTGAGACCTTCAAATCTTGTCTTTGCTTTTTTTCTTTGAGATGGAGTCTTACTCTGTCACCTAGCTCACTGCAACCTCCACCTCCTGGGTTCAAGAGATCGTCCTGCCTCAGGTTCCTGAGGAGCTGGGATTATAGGCACGCACCACCACATCCAGTTGATTTTTGTATTTTTCATAGAGACAGGATTTCACCATGTTGGTCAGGCTGGTCTCAAACTCCTTCAAGTGATCTGCCCACCTCAGCCTCCCAAAGTGCTCAGACAACAGGCGTGAGCTACCTTGCCAAGCCATTAAAATGTTTCCTAATGGTAATAAAATACTTTACATAAGCTTTTACATAAATGAAATGCTGTCAATTCTGTTAATCACTGTGCTGCATTCCTGGATGTCTAATTTTTCTTAAGCAATCTGAAATTTCTTCTCTTATAAATAGAGCAAATATTGGCTAGTCTTCACTGCTTAGTCTTTGTATTCAGGATGGTAGGGGTGACCTCTGGCCGTTGCAGTGGCTCACATCTGTAATCCCAGCACTTTGGGAGGCCAAGGTGAGCAGACTGATTGAGCCCAGGAGTTCAAGACCAGTCTGGGCAACACAGTAAAACCCTGTCTCTACAAAAAATACAAAAATTAGCTTGGCATGGTGCGTTCGCCTACAGTCCTAGCTACTCAGGAGGCTGAGGTGGGAGGATCACTTGAGCTTAGGAGTTCAAGGCTGCAGTGAGCTGTGATCATGCCACTGCATAACAAAAATAAAAGAACAGTAGGGGTGAACTCATCCGATGAAGCTTTTTGAAGAACGGCTAGACATACTTGGCCAGTCAGCATGAGTCAACTACAGATGTATGGGTCCTCTAAGTATGAACTCCAATGTCAGGGAGAATTTCACCTATTTGAATAAAACCTTTCTTGCTGTCACCCTGGGGTGGAGTGCATGGCACGATCATGGCTTACTGCAGCCTTGACATCCTGGGATCAAGTGACTCTCCTGCCTGAGCCCCCTGAGAAACTGGGAGTACAGGAGCATGTCACCATGCCCTGCTAATTCTTTTGTTAATTCTTTTATTATTATTATTATTTATTAAGGAACCATAACTGATTTAATGATCTTTTGCTAATTCTTTACAGTCTCTGTAGAGATTAAGTCTCACTATATTTCCCAGACTAGTCTTGAATTCCTGGGCTCAAGTGAGCCTCCTACCTCAACCTCCCAAAGTGCTAGGATTACAGGCTGGTTAAAGACTTTTTTTTTTTTTTTGAAACAAAGTCTCACTCTTGTCCCCCAGGCTGGAGTGCAGTGCTGCAATCTCAGCTCACTGCAACCTCTGCATCCCAGGTTCAAGTGATTCTCCTGTCTCAGCCTCCTGAGTAGCTGGGATTACAGGCGCCTGCCACCATGCCTGGCTAATTTTTGTATTTTTCGTAGAGACAGGTTTCACTATGTTGGCCAGGCTGGTCTCAAACTCCTGACCTCAAGTGATCCGCCAAGCCTCAGCCTCCCAAAGTGCTGGGATTACAGGTGCAAGTTACTGCACCTGGCCAGCTTGATACTTTTAAAACCATTATTTCTAATGTTGTGAATTAGCAGATTGTCAAATAATAAAATCAGCAAAATGAATCCTCTATAAAAATTCTATCTAGGTAACGCTATTTGTCATTTCCACCCTATGACTTTCTCTTCATATGTAACTGAAATTTCATAAATGTGAAGAATTTGGCCATAAGAATCAGATTTGGAAAGGAGGCAACTGTGCTGTTAACCGTGTCACTTAGGGCTACTGCTATTTGAGGCATGCATCAGACTAGCAGAATCATCTACACCTGGAAGCTTGTCAGAACTGCAGAAATTCTCAGGACCTGTTCCAGACCTAATGAATCTAAATATGCTGTTTAACAAGATCCCTAAGTGGTTACTACACACACTCATGTTTGAGAAGCACTCTCTCCATGCAATACATTGAGCACAGTCAAGTTACATAATCTTGAGTCCACAACAGACTGCATATAAGGCAGTGGTCCCATCAGATTACAATACTGTATTTTTATTGTACCTTTTCTATGTTTAGATACAAAAATACTAACCATTGTGTTACAATTGCCTACAGTAGCCAGGTGCAGTGGCTCACACCTATAATCCTAACACTTTCGTGTGCAGTGGCTCACACTTATATTCCTAGCACTTTGGGAGACCAAGGTGGGCAGAGCGCCTGAGGTTAGGAGTTCCAGACCAGCCTGGCCAACATGGTGAAACCCCATCTCTACTAAAAATACAAAAAAAATTAGCTCTTGTCACCCAGGTTCGGTTGCAGGGCTTGGTGGCACGTGCCTGTAATCCCAGCTACGAGAATCACTTGAACCCGGAAGGCGGAGGTTGCAGTGAACCGAGACCATGCCACTGCACTCCAGCCTTGGCAACAAGAGCGAGACTTCGTCTCAAACAAACAAACAAAAACAACTGCAGTATTTAGTACAGTAACATGCTGTAGAGATTTGTAGCCTAGGAGCAATAGGCTATACCATCTAGGTTTGCATAAGTACACTCTATGGGCAGGGCTTAGTGGCTCATGCCTGTAATTCCAGCACTTCAGGAGGCCAAGGCAGGAAAACTGATTGAGCCCAGGAGTTGGAGACCAGACTGGGCAACAGAGGGAGAAACCCTGTCTATACAGAAAAATTTTAAATTAGCCGGTGTGGTCTGGGCATAGTAGCTCACACCTGTGATCCCAGCACTTCAGGAGGCTGAGGCAGGCAGAGCAGACTGCTTGAGACCAGGAGTTCAAGATCAGCCTAAGCAACACAGCAAGGCCCTTTCTCTATAAAAAGAAAATTAAAATATACAAAAAATATATAATTTAATTTTTTAAAAATTAGCCTGGCATGGTGATGCATGCCTGTAAATCTCAGCTACTCAGGAGGCCGAGGCAGAAGGATCACAGCAGGTCGAGGCTGCAGTGAGCTGTGATGGCATCACTGTACTGCAGCCTGGGTGACACAGCAAGGCCCTGTCTCAAAAAAAAACAGAAAGTACGCTCTATGATATTCCAATGAACAATGGAGTCACCTAAGATGCATTTCTCATATCTCTGTTAAACATCGCATGACTGTCATTTCTCCGGTGAAGTTTCCTCATGTCTGAAAACAAAGGGCACTGAAACCTGTTTGTTCACTTTAGTTCACAGACTGATGATTAGAAAAGTAAGTAAAGGCCGGGCGTGGTGGCTCACGACTGTAATCCGAGCACTAAGGCGGGCGGATAACCTGAGGTCGGGAGTTCATGACCAGCCTGATCAACATGGTGAAACCCTGTCTTTAAAAAAAATAAAAATAAAAATAAAAAAATTTTTTAAATGTAAATAAAATCCAATCCAAATATAAATTAAATACACGTGAAATACCAAACCCTCTAACAAACAGTGAGCTACATACAAGTCCCAGGCACTCCACAACCATTTCTAGACTGAAAATCCTGAAGAGCAGTAAGATTGCCACTGTTACTAGATATCCCAAAGACAGGATTGGTTTTTTTTTGTTTTGTTTTGTTTTCTTGTTGTTGTTTTGAGACGGGGTCTCACTCTGTGGCCCAGGCTGGAGTGCAATGGTGCGATCTCGGCTTACTGCAACCTCTGCCTCCTGGGTTGAAGTTACTCTGCCGCCTCAGCCTCCCGAGTAGCTGGGATTACAGGCACCTGCCATCATGCCCGGCTAATTTTTGTATTTTCGTAGAGATGAGGTTTCACCACGTTGAACGGGCTGGTCTTGACCTCTTGACCTCAGGTGATCCGACAGCCTCAGCCTCCCAAAATGCTAGGATTAGAGGCGCGAGCCACTGAGTCCCACCGACGGGATATCTTTTTTTTTTTTTTTTTTAATGCAAAATACATTAACCCCCCCCCCGCACCCAAAATAATATTTAAGTCTTTTCATTCACGGGAATATATATTATATATATACACACACATATACATACACGTATATACATTTAATCGAAACACATTACCTTTCACTCAACAACTATTCAAGACAGTAACCATTTGGGGCAAGCATTCCTCCTCGGTGGCCAAAGCAATAAAACCTGAAGTAAGCCACTAGGTCTGCAGGAAGCTCCATGCCTGTGAGTACCACCAGGCAGGCACTAGTTTCCCTGCCCACCACTGCCTCAGCCACACCCCTGTGTCAGCGACACAGGGTCGACCCGGGTTCTCCTGAGCTGAGCAAGCCAAGGCAGGGCGTCCGTGAGTGGACCGGGCCTAGCCAGCCGCAGGGTCAGCCCCCGAAGCAGCAGGGGCCGCTTGACCGCGGATGCCAGGACGCCCTCGTGCAAGCCTTGAAGGGGGCTGCCACTCCGGACATTCGCCAGAGCGCAAGCGGCAGCCAGGAGAAGCCCTCGCAGGCGCTGGAGGTGATCCAAGCCGGCCGCACCTCGCAGAGTTATCTAAGTAGGATGAACTACAACCGCCATAATCGGGCTGGGGTCGCCTAGCAACCAGGAGCCAAGTGCGCGGGCGCTAGGCATTGGCCTGAGCGTGTCACGTGAGCAAGCGCTGCTGCCCATTGGGAGATTACGTCGCAGGCACGTGACGCTGCCCAAGCGCGTTTCCTCAAAGGTCTCTGAGAAGGTAGCTGCGGCGCTGGGCGCGGAAGAGAGGCTTTCCAGAGGCCTTTGCCCTAGCCTAGTGCAAAGTCCTGGCTTTGGCTGGTGCGACCAAAGAGAGGAAACCGGCGCTTGAGGCCTGTCGGGGCTGGCTTTGGTGAAGCAGTGAAACGGTGCAGAATTGTGCCTGTGAAGCTGGTTCAGTCGTGCAAGAGCATTTCTTCAGAAGACAAGTTTTTAGTTACCTCAACACCTGCAAATACTAGGCTGGCCAGAAATTTCCTGACAAATAATGGGTGAAGACCAAGTGCTCGGTCGCTCGTGCCTGTAATCCCAGCACTTTGGGAGGCTGAGGCGGGTGGATCACTTGAGGTCAGGAGTGCGAGACCAGCACGGCAAACATGGCGAAACCCTGTCTTTACTAAAAGTACAAAAATTAGCTGGGCGTGGTGGCGCGCGCCTGTAATCCCAACTACTCGGGAGGCTGAGGCGGCAGAATCACTTGAACCTTGGCGGCAGAGGTTGCAGTAAGCCGAGTACGCCACTGCACTTTATCCTGGGCGACAGAACAAGACTCCATCTTTGAATAAATAAATAAATATGAAAATTATTGCTATGGAGTTGGACAGACTATTCAGTGCTGACTAGAAGAGAGACTTCATGGGGGCAGGAGTTTACTGGGCTCCAGAGAGGCCTCCCGCTGACATAATTACCAGAAAAGTAGAAATTCTAGGCCGGGCGCGGTGGCTCACGCCTATAATCCCAGCACTTTGGGAGGCCGAGGCGGGTGGATCACGAGGTCAAGAGATTGAGACCATCCTGGTCAACATGGTGAAACCCTGTCTCTACTAAAAATACAAAAAAATTAGCTGGGAATGGTGGTGCGCCCCTGTAGTCCCAGCTACTCGGGAGGCTGAGGCAGGAGAATCGCTTGAACCCAGGAGGCGGAGGTTGCGGTGAGCCGAGATCGCGCCATTGCACTCCAGACTGGGTAACAGGAGCAAAACTCCGTCTCAAAAAACAGAAAGAAAAGTAGAAATTCCATTGTGCCTTTTAGAGAACTACATTCAGGTTTATAATCCAGCCTCTCATGAGCGAAGGGGCAGAACCTCTTTATTCACGTGTCACTTCATGAAAACTACGGTCTAATACGCAGACCAGGATGAGTGGGGACTCCGCCACAGGCCCGGGAGGCCTATGAAAACTTTTATAATGTGAAAGGGAGGTAGACAAAAAGAGTCAAACTCTAAAATATTCGAAGAGATTTAATTTTGAACCAAATGCAAGTGACCATGTCTTGTGATACAGCCCCAAGAGATCCTGAGAACGTGCCCAAGGTGTTTGGGCTATAGCTTGGTTTTATACATTTTAGGGAGACATAAGACATCAATTAGTACATGGAAGATGTGCATTGGTTTGGACTTCCCAGGTCCCAGGTGAATTCACAGATGTTTCTGCTTGGCAATTGGTTGACAGTTTATCTAAAGCCCTGGAATCCATATAAGAGAGTTGTCTGGGTTAGGATAAGGGATTGTAGAGACCAAGGATATTATGTACATGAATCCTCCAGGTAGCAGGCTTTGGAGAGAATAGATTGCAAATGTTTCTTATCCGATTACAGACAGCTTTGCTGGGCCATTTAAAAATATGTCAAAACACCGGGCCGGGCACAGTGGCACACGCCTGTAATCCCAGCACTTTGGGAGGCCGAGGCGGGTGGATCACGAGGTCAAGAGATCGAGACCATCATGGTCAACATGGTGAAACCCTGTCTCTACTAAAAATAAAAAAAATAAAAAAATAAAAAAATAGCTGGGCATGGTGGCGCGTGCCTGTAATCCCAGCTACTCAGGAGGCTGAGGCAGGAGAATTGCCTGAACCCAGGAGGCGGAGGTTGTAGTGAGCCGAGATCGCGCCATTGCACTCCAGCCTGGGTAACAAGAGCGAAACTCCATCTCAAAAAAAACAAAAGTCAAAACAGTGCAGGCACGGTGGCTCATGTCTGTAATCCAGCACTTTGGGAGGTCAAGGCAGGCAGATCACCTGAGGTCGGGAGTTCTAGACCAGCCTAACAAACACGAAGAAACCCTGTCTCTACTAAAAATACAAACTACTACAGCTACTCGGGAGGCTGAGGCAGGAGAATCACTTGAACCCAGGAGACGGAGGTTACAGTGAGCCAAGATTACGCCATTGCACTCCAGCCTGGGCAACAAGAGTGAATTGTCTCAAAAAAAAAAAAAGTCAAAACAATGTATTTTACCTTTGATTTCCCTCAGGGTGTGCTGTCACGTTGGTATCTTATTGCTACAAAGAATCTGTTCTAGCTGGGCAGTGGCTCACACCTGTAATCCCAACACTTTGGGAGACCTTGAGACCAGGAGTTCAAGACCAGCCTGGGCAACATGGTGAGACCCCTATCTCTACAAAAAAATCCAAAATTTAGCCAGATATGGTGGCACCTGCCTATGGTCCCAGCTACTTGGGAGGCTGAGGTGGGAGGATTGCCTGAGGCTGGGAAGCAGTGGTTGCAGTGAGCCAAGATGGAACCAGGGTACTGTTTTAGTGTTAATGCTGGTTAGCTGTGCCTGAATTCCAAAGGGAAGACGGTATGATGAAGCATGTCTGACCACCTATTCATATACCTCTGTAGTCCCAGCTACTTGGGAGGCTGAGGGGGGAGGATTGCTCGAGCCCAGGTGTTCTGAGCTGTAGTGCAGTATGATCACACCTGTAATCCCCACTGTGCTCCAGCCTGGGCAATATAGTAAGACCCCCATCTCTTAAAAAATAAATAGACTGGGTGCAGTGGCTCACACCTGTAATCCCAGCAGTTTGGGAGGTCAAGGCAGATGGATCACGAGATCAGGAGATCAAGACCATCGTGGCCAACATAGTGAAACCCCGTCTCTACTAAAAATACAAAAAAAAAAAAAATAGCTGGGCATGATGTCATACATCTGTAGTCCCAGCTACTCGGAAGGTTAAGGCAGGAGAATTGCTCGAAGGCAGGAGAATTGCTTGAACCCAGGAGACAGAGATTGCAGTGAGCCGAGATCGTGCCACTGCACTACAGCCTGGATGACAGTGCGAGACTCCATCTCAATAAATAAATAAAATAAATAACAGCTATTCTCAGATGGCTATGGAGTAAGTGAAGTAAGTTTATGTCGGTCCAGAGGTTGGCCAGGCAAGGTGGCTCATGCCTATAATCCTAGAGCTTTGGGAGGTGGAGGCAGGAGGGTCACTTGAGGCCAGGTGGTAGAGACCAGGCTGAGCAACATAGTGAGACCCCCCAACTGTTTAAAAAAATAAAAATAATCATCTGAGTGTGGTGGCGCACGCCTGTAGTCCCAGTAATTCTGGAGGCTTAGGTGGGAGTACTGCTTGAGCCCAGGAGTTCAAGGCTGCAGTGAGCCGTGATTATGCCACTGCACTCCAGCCTAGATGACAGAGAGAGACCCTGCCTCAACAAAACAAACCAGAAAAAGAAGTTAGCACTGAGAAAAGTCCATAATTACCCAAAATGTTTTGATAACCCGGTGAGTACAGGTACATTGGAAATGCGAAGGAGTTGACCCAGAATATAGTGGGACTGAAAGGTTGTCCGATCTTAGGAAAGGTAAGCTGGAGATGGAGGAGGTGTTGCATTATACATGCACACACAATCCTGGCCTAGGAATGGAAAGAGTTTTTGTGTTAAGGTAAAATGAGTAAAATAAAGCACTATCAGCTATCAGTTGACATCCCAGAAACAATGAGAGGCTTCATTGAGCAAGCAGCCTATTCAGAAATTGATGATGAGAGGAAATTTTAACAATATATACTTGACTTTTTTTAAAGCAATGGTTCATAAGTATGAAACAGTTATTTACAGTGTTTCGGCGATTTCGCTCCCACTATAGGAGTTATAAAAACTAACCAGGGTAGATGCCTTTGCTGGTTTGTTCTTTTGAGTAGAGAAGAATTAGGCAAGTACCTAGAAGTAGATAGAAACTTTGTTGGCTGGGCTAGGCTCTGTGGCTCACACCTGTAATCCTAGCAGTTTGAGACGCCGAGGCAGGTGGATCACCTGGAGTTCAGTCAGGAGTTCAAGACCAGCCTGGCCACCATGGCAAAGCCTGTCTCTACTATAAATACAAAAATTAGCTGGGCATAGTGGCAGGTGCCTGTAATCCCAGCTATTTGGGAGGCTGAAGCAGGAAACTCGCTTGAACCCAGGAGGTAGAGTTGCAGTGAGCCCAAATCATGGCACTACACTCCAGCTGGGGCAACAGAGCAAGACTCTGTCTCAAAAAAAAAAAAAGAGGCCGGGCGTGGTGGCTCTCGGCTGTAATCCAAGCACTTTGGAGGCCAAGGCAGGCGGATCACCTGAGGTCAGGAATTCCAGACCAGCCTGACCGACATGGTGAAACCCCATCTTAAAAAAAAAGAAACTTCGCTGGTGATAGCCATGTGGTGATGAAAGTGAATGTTTTGGAGCACAGCAAGGTGACTCCCCATGTAATTAATATAGGCAGAGAGTTTGTGCTCTAAAGGTTAGAAAT